GATGTTGTCACCGCAAAAAGGGAGCACTGATTGGCCACCGTATTCAGCACGCAACTATTCAGTGACACCGCTAGGGTCGCGCTCTGGTTTGATACAGTGGGTCGAGGGTGCAACGCCAATGTTTCATGTTTATCGCAAATGGCAATTGAGACAGGTTTGTGATATGATAAGTTGATCGTTTAGTTGCCAGTGAATAGTTTTCATTGACTAATCTTCTGCATTCATACAAGTATTTGTTGATACAATATGTGATATTCTGGAGTGTAAAATTCTAATTGAGTGTAGAATTGTGTGATTTGTTAATGAGTTCGAGTTCTGAGGGTGACTGCAGATTCTGCAGAATTGCTCTTGTATATTATTTACTTTTGGTCTTTTGAAGAGTTTTGAGCAGTTTGAGCAGTCGAATTTCAGTGGTATTTGGGGACAAAATTTGTTGTGTTGCCCTTCTCAATTGATTAGATTGTTGTTGTGTTCAGCACCCAATTGAAAGTTTTAACGTTGTGTTTTGCGGATTGCTTCAGGCAGCTCGTAAACAGACGACGTCCTCAGCAAAAGGGGCGAATGAAGCCGAGAGACCAAGTGAACTGTTCTTCAAGAAGCTGAAAGCTGCATTCAATTCTAATGTAACATTTATTTTATAATCAGGAATATTTCATTTGAATATTTATTCGGTGCTCTATGTTTCATTTGGGATATTCTTTTTTTGCGGTTTTTTTCGATTCGAAATGTTTTCGGTTTGAAATTTTTGTAAATTTTGATTTTAATTATTAACATGAGACATTGTTGGTAAAAGAGTTTATGAATTTTTTCAGTGTATCGCCGGAGATACTCTGACCGATCGGCAAAAATGGCCATTGGCAATACTGGAAAATGTTTTAGAGGAATTGATCAAGGAGACACCTCGTGATTTGCTGTCAAGGTGGGCATTTTTGTTCTGATTCGTATCGTATCATAGCGATTTATTTTAAGATAATTTAAAAGAATTTGAGAGATGTGATTCTGTGTGATATAATTTGATTACATTTGAACTGATTGGTTGTACAATTGATGGTGTCTTATGGGTGGACAAGAAATAATGATAAATTTGGTTGGCAGAGAGCTTTGGTTGC